ATGAAAAGTATATACACAAAACCAAAACCCAATAATATTCTCAAGTCTCCTTGTGAACAGGGACCAGACAATGACGTCCACTGTAACCATTCCTATTCAATATTGTATTGGAAGTGCTTGCTAGGGAATTACAACAACAGAAGGAAATAAACAGCATCCAGATCTGCAAAGAGATGGTTAAACTATTGCTATATGCAGATGACATGATAGTGTACACAGAAAACTGTAAGATCGCCACAAAAAACCTGTTAGAGCTAGTAGGTCAACTTAGTAGAGTAGCAGGATACAAAACCAATATCTAAAAGTAGGATTCCTCTACAGTAAAAAATAAAACACAGAGAAGGAAAATAAGAAAATAATACTATTTACAATAGCCAACAACAGATTGAGATATTTAGGAATAAACCTAACTAGAGACTCAAAAAACCTTTACAAAGAAAAATTCCAAAAACTTTTAGAAGCAATAAGGGAAACAATAAAAGACCTAAATAAATGGGGAAAAATGTTCCCTGTTCCTGGATAAACTCAATATAATGAAAAAGAAAAAAGAAAGAAAAGATCGTTTCTGGAACAACACAGAATCAGTGAAATAAAAGAATTGTCACCACTTATGCCCTAGAGCAAAAAGCAGAATAAAAAGGAAGGAAAAACAATCTACATGTTTAACACAATCACAATATAAATTCCAAATTTATTTTTCAAAGAGATAGAAAAGTCAAATGGCAAGTTTATTTGGAGAGGGAAGAGACTTCAAATAAACAAAGCACTTTGGAAAAACAAGAATGAAGTGGGAAGCATAGCACTCAATGATTTCAAAACCTACTACACAGCTGTAATAACCAAAACAGCATAATATTGGTACAATGACAGGCACATCGACCAAGGAAAAGAACTGACAACCCCAAAATTAATCTATTTATCTATGGTCAGTTGATATTTGACAAGGAAATAAAACTTATGAAATGGGGAAATGACAAAATTTTCAAGAAATGGTGCTGGCAAAATTGGATTACTACCTACAGAGAGCTGAAGCAAGATTCCACATTTTTCACCACACACATAAATCAAGTCAAAGTGGATCAGAGACCTAAGCATAAAGTACAAAATAATAAAGACCATAAGAGACAAAGTAGGACTAATCTTAGAAGACTTAGCCCATGGCATAAAAAGGCTGACAAATACAGCCATAAATACACAACCAGGAGAGGGTAAAATTGTTGAACAGGACCTTCTAAAGATTAAATCCTTATGGATATCAAAAACTTTATCCAATAGAGTAAAAAGAAATCCTACTGCCTAGGAAAAAAATATTTGGCAATACCATTTCAGACAAGGGTCTTATAACAAAAGTTTCCAAAAGACTACAGGGCCTCCAGAAGAAAAAAAGACTGATAACTCAATTAAAGGACATGGAAAGATTTCATAGAGGAAGACATTTGGATGGCCAACAAACACAAATCACTTGCCATAAGAGAGATGAAAATCAAAACCACTATGAGATGTCATCTCACCCCAACAGAAGTGGGAAAGTTTAACAGAACATCAAACAATAAATATTGGAGAGGATGCAGAGAGACAGGAACTCTCTCATACACTGTTAGTGGGATTATAAAATGGTACAACTACTCTGAAAGGCAGTTTGGAGCTCCCTGAAAAAGCTGAACATAGAAATTCCATATGATTTAGCTATTCTACCGCTTGGAATATACTTTGAGAAAATTAGAACTGAGACACAGAGATTTGCTCACCAATATTCACAGTAGCATTATTTACATCACAAGAATAGAGAAATAGTCCAAATGTCCAACCACAATAGGATGGATTGAGAAACTGTCATAGAGTCATACAATAAAATACTACACAACCATTCAGGAGCAATGATTTAAAAATTTACTACATAACCTTGGAGGGACTGAAGAGCATTATGCTGCGTGAACTAAATCAGTTCCCATAAGACAAATACTGCATAAGACCATTATTGTCTTATAGAGAGATAACTAGTAAAATGTGTATGAGGACCTGGGGTGGGGGGTGCAGGGCAGGGTGAGGGGCAGAGGGGTGAGGATGGGCAAGGGGAAATCATAAGGCTGTAGAATTTGATAGATGGAGGAAGGGGTGAGAAAAGGAAATGGGAAAGGGCCAGTGGGGATCTGAAAAGACAGGGCAAAAGTGGGCATATTTCAATGTTGATTACTTTTATAAAATATAATAAATGAGAATAATTATATGAAACATAATTTGAATGAAGATAGTGTGAAATACAATGCATAGAAACTATGTAAGCAAACTAGTGTAAAAGAAAAATTTATTTAAAAAAAAAATCTCCCAAACTCAATGCCTTCAGGGGAAAAAAGTACTTGGTAGAAACAGAAAGCTGCTGCTGCTTCTTCTTCTCCTTTTTTTTATATTTGTTCTCAACTATTTCTCTTCTGAAATCTCTCCATGTTTTTATCTGCAAGTATATTATAGCAAACATTCTTCCAACCTACCACAATAATTTTTAGATACAATATAGTAGAATATAAATTTTAAATACCTCTATATTCTTCTTTGTCTCCATGTCTTTTGAAAGCTGTAAGACATTCAAAACATTTTCAAAGGTTTTTAGAGTTAAAATTTTTTATACTTCATAAATGTGTTATTTATTAACATAATACAAAGTATTACATGAAAGCCTAAATGTTGTATTTTATGTTGGGACTACAAAAACAGTCCTTATCTTTATACTACTAAAAACTCAAAAGGAGAGTCACATACATAAACAATAAAATATAAAGAAGAGTTAAGATAGAATAATAAACAGACAACTTGTTGCTGTTTGGGTTTTCTAAGAAACAGACTCTAGAGTTTAGTGTTCAGAATGTTTAGTGGAAGGCACTAAGTTCCCTTGTGAAATACAAGGAGAGAGAGAAGATTGATTAGTTAAAGGAGACAACTATAATGGAGGCTTAATAAACTCAAGTGACCCTAGGAAAAGTTGAAAGAGTCTGTCAGGATTATCCTTTGTCCTGCATTGGGCTGAAATGGCCAGTCTTTTCTACCTCTATTTTAATAAGGCAGTTGCTCTAGATGATTCTTGGAGATGTGGATGATTCCTCCCTAAAGATATGAGTTAATCCCTACAGAAGCCCCAAACCACTCAGCTGCTAGGGTAACCACTTCTTCCTAAGAAGAGATCTGGATTTCATATTGCCATGTTTACCATGATGCTTTACATCTACACATGTTAGTACACATATTATATTTAGCAACTTACACACTTATCTTCCTGAGAAATAAGTCTATAGACACATTTTATATCGAAAATATGTTGTAGAAGAGAAGACCTATGAGGTAAATTTGAAAAGATGATACACCTTGTTAACAGGAAAAAAAGGATATATTTATTGACCTTAAAAGTGTAAAGAAATTTTCAAAAAAATATTTAGAAAAATGAGATGAACTATGATCAGAAAGGCTACATGCCTGAGAATTGCAGACACGCTATATTAATAAAGATAGAGTCATATTAAGAGAGATGTTAATACTAATTTCAAAGTCTTGGCTTTATCCTGAAGGAAACAAAGAAATACTGGAGTATTTAAGAGGATTACTGAAGAGCAATCATGTCTCTCTGGAGACTAAGGTGTGTCTGACACAGGCCATGGTCTTTGCAATCACTTGTTATACACCAGAGAGTTGGACAACGACTAGGAAGGATAGAACGAGAGTTGATGTCTTTGAGCTGTGGTGTTGGAAAAGAGTATTGGATATACCATGGACTGCTAAGAAAACAAACAGATTCATCCTGGAGACGGTTAAATTGCGCTGCTCCTTGGAGGCAAGGATTCTGAGGCTTTGTAACATACTTTGGACATGTTGTAAGGAGGGACCGGTCCTTGGAGAGGAACATCATGCTTGGGAGGGTGAAGGGACAGCACAGGATGGGCAGGCTGTCTATGAGGTGGATTGATTCAGTGACTGGGGTAATTGGGATGGGTGTGTCAGAGACAGTGTGACTGGCACAGGACAGAGCAGAGTTTAGGGATGTTGTACATAGGGTCGCTATGAGTCGCAAACGACTCGATGGCACATAACAACAGCAATAGTAATGCACTTTAGAAATGCCAAGTGAAGTTTTCTCTTTCTATTTTCCTTTTCAATCTCTTTGCAAATTCTGTTATAAACGTTGCTGTGTCTTCAGTAACTGCCCTTTGACATCTTCTGTTCATCTCTTTAACGTTGGCATTTCCTCCTTCTGTTTGGCTTGTCAATGCTTTAGTGCAATTTTCAGAATCTCTTCTGACATTCATTTTGCCTTTCTTCATCTTCTGTGTTTGTAACAGCCTTTTGCTCTTTTCAGGGATGATATCTTTGACTCAAGACCATAACTTGTCTGGTCTTTGATCTTTAGTGTCCAATACCCAAAACCTATCCTGAGATGATTTTTAAACTCAAATGGGATAGATAAATCATACTTTTTTTTCATGGGCTTGTTTAATTTTCCTTAGCCTTAATTTTAATTTGCACATGAGTAATTTATGGTCTTTTACTTGATCATGTTTTCCTTTTGTTTCATCTTCCCAATAATCCAGTGCAATTTTTAGAGTTCCTTCTGACATCCATTTCTAATTTTTCTTTCGCCTATGTTTTTGTTACACTTTTGCTTTCTTCATGAATGTTATCCTTGATATAATTCCACAACTCATCAAGTTTTATATCACTGGTGTTCAGTGCCTCAAACTTATTCCTAAATTGATCTTGAAATTCAGATGTAATTGACTCAAGATCATATTTTAGCTCCTATGGACTTACTGAGTTTCTTCAAGGATTTCTTCCACAAATGCAGTCAACTGATTCAACAGGTAAGATCCATTTGTAAAGATGTCATTTATGTCTTTTAAAAAAGGTGTTTTCAATGAATAAATATAAAATATAAATATAAAATTCAATCATTCTATTTCCAGCCTCATTTCTATCACCAAGCCCCTAATTTCCAACTACTATTGAATTTTGAAGTATAAATTGACTGCATGGATCATAACACACTGTGGCTAACCTTAAGAATTGGAATCCTGGGAACCCAGTGCAACCAGGAGATGGGTCTGAGAGCTGGAATTTGAGTAAGGCCCCTGCACATGCTCAATCCGAAGAGACTGTGTATGCCTCACCTTGCCCCTGTGCCTTCCTCTAAGCACTTTACCTCTCTCTCTGCCCACCTCTATACTCCACCCACTTCTATACTCTGCTCACCTCTACTCAGTGGCTTCAGATCAAGAATCCATCATCACCTCAGGCATGAAAAACTCCACAGCAACATCACAAACTAAACAAGCACAAAGCAAGATGTCACCCCAAAAAAGTAGCACAGTACCAATGGATGTCCTGAAGCCAGAAAGTCTGATGTAACTCGCTGACACAGAATTTAAAAGAATAGTGATTAACTATTTTCAATGGGTGAAAGGCAAACTTGAAGAACTACAGGACACTGCAAGAAAAAACCATGAACGGTTTAAATGCATCACTGAAGAGAAAAAGAGTAGCAGATTGGAGAAAAAACCCCAAAATCCATCAATATGCTATCTATAAGAGACACATCTGAAAAATGAAGATAAAAAAGACTAAAAATAAAAGGATGGGGAAAAATATACCAAGCAAATGACAACCAGAGAAAAGCAGGGGTAGCGATATTAATCTCTAATAAAATAAATTTCAATGCAAAAACTATCACAAATAACAAGGGCACTACATAATGCTTAAAGGGTCAATAAAACATTAAGACATAACAATAATATCTATGCACCAAATGATAGACCTGCAAAATATATAACACAAACATTAAACTGAAAAAGGAAATAGAAAACACTACTATAGTAGTTGGGGACTTCAATACACTACTCTCAAGAAAAGATAGAACTACCAGAAAAAAATCAACAAAGATGCTCAAGAATTAAACCACATAATAAGTCACCTCACCCTCATAGATATTTATAGGCTAATGTACCCCCAAAAACATGGTATACCTTCTTCTCCAATGTACATGGAATGTTCTCCAGAATGGATCACATCTTGGGCCACAAGGCAAGAATCAATAAATTTAAAAAAGAATCAATACATTTTTTAAAAAGAAGTAATATAGAACATCTCAGACCACAATGCTACAAAATTAGAAATTAATAACAAGAGGATAAAGGGGGGAAAACATACATTTGGAAGCTGAACAACACTTTGCTTGAACATGAGTGGGTGCAAGAAGAAATAAAAAATGAAATTAAAAAGTTTCTTTAAATACATGACAATGAAAACACAGTTACAAAAACCTCTGGGAAACAGCCAAAGCAGTAATCAGGGGTCAATTTATAGCAATAAACAAACATATCACAAGGCAAGAAAAAAAAATTACCATTGACTCTCTAACCCAACATCTCTAACAAACTGAAGAATAACAGCAATAAAACCAGACACCCTCTAAAAAAACTAAAATTATAAAAATTAGGGCAGAAATAAATGAAATCAAAGACAGAAAATTGAAACTATCAACAAAACTAAGAGTTGGTTCTTTGAAAAGATCAATAAAATAAACAAATAAACAAACCACTAGCAAAACTAACAAAGGAAAAGGCACAAATAATCCAAATAAAAGATGAAAGGGGCAACATTACAACAGAACCAAGTAAAATTAAAAGACTAACATCAACATAGAGAGAGGTATCAGCTGGCCCAGTGGACAGAAGGCGATGGATGCTACCAAGCCAAAGGTGGGTGACTTTTAATCTGTGGCCCTCAGGCCTGTCTTTCATTGTTTTTGTTCAGACATTCCTCCAGGTTGTATAGCCCTGGTGTACAAGTTGCTGTACAGCAGTAACTTGTGGTTGCTATGAGGCTGAACACTGTGACACTGATGTGTCTAATGCATTAATGGCTGGTTACCCAATGCGGACAGAGAG